CAACTCCAGTTTCTTCTGTGGCTCTCCACCCGTTTTCTGTATCTATCTTCTCAGATGTTACACAAGACAAATCCTCCTAATCTAGTTAGCTGCCAAGCTAAGTTGGTGTTACCGATTCTCCTTGTGAAACAGATTTATGTGCACCTGACTTGATCTGCATCTTTGATGATAGTTTCCTTTTTGAATCACGCATTAGCGGTGTGACTGTCAAAAGCCATACTACTTCACCAACTCAGGATTTCTACCATGCAGATCCTCTGCCTATATATCATTTGTGTGCGCATATCATCCTGTGATTAACTGCTGCCACACTAATATTTTTTTTCTATCAAGATTTATTCATGTGCGTATATCATCCTGTGATTAACTGCCGCTATACTACCAATGTCTAATTGACTTGGTGCAACTTAACTTACAGGGTTACAACCTCAGAAATGGACAGAGTTTATCATAAGTTGGGTACAAAGGTCTAGGTAATTATTCAAATTCGTTGACAGTGGGATTTGAATCCTAGACCTCTTGCATGGTGGTCTGGCAACCTAACTACTACACTAAGATCACTGAACTTTTAAAAAAAAAAAAAAAATTATTTAATTCAAATCTTACTGCTGATGAATTTGAATAATTACTTAGACCTTTGTATCTAACTTATAGTAAACCCTGTTTGTTTCTAAGAATTGTAACTCTGTAAATCATGTTGTACTAATATCAATTGGATATTAGAAGTGTGATATAATGTTTGAGTTATATTACATGAATAAATCTTGATAAAATCTATAAGTAGAGGATCTGCATAGTAGAAATCCTGAATTAGATGAAATAATATAGATTTCAATGATTATATTAATTAACGCTTGATTCAGAAAAAGAAGATTGTATACAAAGATTGCAAATTGAACAGATGCAAATAAGTCTGCTATATAATACAGCCTAATGTATTGCATTAGTAGTAACACCAACTTGGCTTGGTAGCTAACTGAATTTGAGAAAATCTGTTTTGTAAAACTTCTAAATATGCAAAAAACTAATCTGATGAAAAGCTACAGTAGAAACTAGGTTTGTATGAACATCTATAAGGATATATGCTAGCTTAATTGGGATATAGCATAGCATAGACATGTCTGAAATCTGTAACAGGTTATGTTGATCATTGCTGAATATAGCCAATAAAATCACAAGATCATATGTAACTTAAAAAATTCGAGAAAACAGAAAAATCACAAATAAACACAAAATTTTACTATGATAACCACAGTTTGGCTTCTAAATAAACGTTTTCAGCACGAAATTTTAGTTTATAAGTATATTTAAATATCGAATATTAAGTAAATTAAAGTCTGCAAAGTCTGCGCTTATTTCTGATCTTTATGCTTCTTTCGATTTGGTAATCGACATAACCTGTCACAGATTTCAGACGTGCAACATACTCCAGATATGACACATCAACAGTCAGTCGCGGGAAATATTTTAGTATTGTTAAAGAGTACTCAACATTCCTTAACAATATTAAATATTCGCCCATTAATGATAGGAGTGATACCCGGAAGTTATACCGGTAACTTGATTTTTATTAAAGTTCAAGTGATTCAATACAGTAATTTATATAAAACTTTAAAGATTATTTGAGAACTGTTCCTCGCAAAATTGAAATGCGTGACAGGTTGATCGACAAATTGTTTTTTTCTCTACCTCAAAATCTCGTTTATAATTTTGGTATTGTTAATTTTGGTATATCTAAATTCGCATTATAATCATTTCATTTCACCAACAATCGCTTCACATATGCTTTAGTTCACAAACAATTAATTCACCAAAAAAAAAAAAAAAAAAATTATTTTACGGATAGCCAGTTTGTAAACAAGTTTATTTCGTAGATAACTCATTTCACAGGTAGTTTATTTCATAAACCAAGTCTATTTATTACAAAATTTAGATATAAACAATATATTCCTTAAATTCTAACCTTAATTCTACTGACAATAATTTTCTGTGAAATGAGCTGTCTTTGAAATAAGTTGTACTGTAAAGTAACTGAATTATTGTCTGTGAACCAATTTTTCATATGGGCGATGTGATTATTAAAATTTTTAAGATTTCATTAATGCCAATATGTAATACAAAGCCATTATAATGAATTTTAACTTTTTTAATATGAGACAATAAATAAAAATCAATATTATTTTGAGTAAAGTTTCGAAATTCACGTGAGCAAGCTAAGATATCGTATATATAAGACAATAAAAATTTATAAGTATCGAAGAGGTTACGTGAAATTAATTTGACACATTACAGCATTATTACATAGTTAATTAGTATAATTTATTAAAAAGTTAGAATCGAATCTATATTAATGTTAACGTTAACTAAAACCGCAAAATGTGTTTCTATTTATTTCTTTTTATATTTCCGTTTATACTCGTTTGCTTACCTTTTGTTATTGGTTTAATTTTCGCGTTCTCGCCTATTTGGATGCCATTTGCCAGGTATATTCTTTAATTAAATCCGTATTTTGTGAAAATCATATATACTAAGATTGAGCAACGTCTCTTTAGACTTTTCATTTTATTTAAATAATGGATGATCAAAAATCCACCAGAAACACTCCAAAGCCTCCTCAAATGGGGTACGAACTTGATCAGGCACAAAAATTTCTCGGTACATATCATAATTTTAACATAATCTCAATACATTTAGAGTATTTTAATGGTTGTTTCTAACCCATTTGTAGCTCGCGTGGGTAAGAACTTCCTCGATGCCAAAATACCTCAGAAAGAGTGCTTTGACATCGCTGATTGTGATTTCGAATTTGACGATGAGGTCGGTTGTTTTTTTTTACAACGCATTTGACAAAGGTGAAATTGCTGGACATGAAAACGAGTAGGTGACTGTACACAAACAGAAAGTAATAGAGTATGGGCAAAGATATAATGATGATAAATTGGACCAAATTCTCGAAATCATGCCTGGCGCTGTCCAACTTCCAGTTAATCAGAAATGTATACCACGTAATCCACAGTAATAATGACCAGGGAAAATGGCGATGATTACCAGGCCAACTAGAACCAGGTTAACCAGAACCAGAGTAATAATGACCAGGACAACCAGAGTAATAACGATTAAACCAACCCGAGTAATAACGACAAGGTTTAAATATGTATTTAATTATAGGCTTTAGAGAATTGTTTTATCTTATGAAATTTAGTACTTGCAGTAAAAAAATGTATTAATGTAGTTTTTTCGGTTAATAATTTTTTTCAAATAAAGGTCAGAGTTCATGTTAAAAGGCCTAGTGAAGATTTAATTGCTCAGCTTGAGTACAATTTTTATGATATCCAAGACAAAACTATTCTATGCAAGTCGAATGTTTGAAATATCTATCGGCGATGATAAAATTGTCAAAATGGGCCCAAGCAAAAATCGTAGTCTAAAAAAAAAAACCCCCCAACGATCAGGTACAATGTTCACTTATTGGCAACGATGTTATCGACAAATTAGCATATATACATGAATCAAGACAACCATCAAAATTTTAAATCTTTATGATGAACCCAATCTCAGTTTTTAAGGGGATGTGTTTGAATCCGAAATTCGAGACCAATAATGAAAATTGCTTTTTATTAATCATGCAATTTCTTAATATATTCCTATCAAAAGGTATTATGATAAAATTCGAGATGGACCCATTTCTTAATTTAATATATTTA